AATGGAAAGGCTGAGGACCTGAAAGGGGCGGTGGCCGAAGTTGAGCTCGTAGACGTCATTGGCCGTGTCGTTGATATCGAACGCCTCAATCGCTTCCCCGTTGATCCCAGCTCTCATTAGAGAGTATCTAACATGAAGCATAATGGGTCGGACCAAGCTGAGGTTAATTGTAATTGAGGCCAACAGCCAAGATACTGCACTGGAGTCTATGAAACCAGAAATTGGTCCCTTAAGCCTTTCATAAACTTAAAAACCGAAACCGATTTTTGAAAAATGGAATTAGTTCGGACCAAAACCGAAACCGATCCGAATTTTGGTTGGGCCGAATATTCAGATGAAGGGGGGAAAATCTGGATCTGGATGAGAGTTTTGAGAATTCAAAAAATTCGGATTGGATCCGGATTGCGCTTAAAACCGACCCGAACCGAATATGCCCAGCCCTAGAATACCCCCTGAGGAATATATTGAACAACTTTGTTCCCATCAAAGAAACATTCTTTATGGAAGATAAAAGAAAAATTACTATATCATGACTCTGCGTAAGCAAAAAATATAAAATCATCCTTTTTCTTTTTCTTATATGATATCATGACCCTGCGTGTGACTTTATTTAGGGGTATGACTACTAATGAATGATCAATTCTTAAATACACGATCAAGGATAATGATGTAATAGCACAATTAGAATTCAAGATCTCTAAATATGAAGGTAGTATATTTTATTAGTAAAATTTATTATTAAATGCCACTAAATATAAAATTCACCTTATATTTATCTCAAATTTATAGATAAGATATGCATGTCATCGTAAATTGCGTTAATAATATATATCAATCCAAAGATACAACTTACTAAAAAAATAAGAGAATAGTAGGCAAACCAAGGAAACATCCATATAACACCGTAAAAAAAATATTACATTTTAAAGGTAATATGCAACGTTCTTTTAGAGTAAGCTGCCAAGATAAAATCATCTCCATTAAGGCTCTTTATAAATGTAATAGAAATTCAAATTACTAATATATACAACCATTATAACATTAGAAAGAGGTATGATCTTAGAAAACCTACTCTAAAATTTATACAATTAAACCTAAAAATAATTTATCAATATACACACATACTATCACACCTTTAAGGCAACGATAACTACCATTTATAATAAATTTGAGTAGTGGTTCTATATTTGCAAAGGCTGCAATAAGAAAATAGATAGAGATGTTAATAATAAGTGTTTAGATGATAAATATTATAGAATCGCCGATGATTTAGTACCAAGGTTAAGTGATATCCATTCTTCATGAAATAAATATATCAAAATTAAATATTAATATTATAATCTAAAGTAAATTGACAATAAAAAATGTAATGTATTTAGTTCAGATCCTCATGAAAAATGATGCAAACAGAGCAAATATAACATTATGACACAACAAAAATTCTTATTGGATGCACAACAGAAGAATTCATTGCAGAGAAAAAAAGATGTAGCTCCTAACCTTATTTAAGTAATAAATTAAAAACACAAAAAATTTCATATATATGAAAATAATATTTTCTTATTGAAATAGGAAAAAATCGAAGTCTGTATTGTCAGAAGTTTGTGTTAAACATAAGAAATATATTCAACTTCTTTGTGAATTCAGACGAGAAGACAAAAGATGAATGAGCCCAAGGAAAGATAACATGTTCCAATCTCATATCACAATTGATGTAGAAGATGAAGACACTACTCTAGAATTGCCTAGGAAAAATATAAAGATGAAGAAAGATTGATCTCGACTCAATAAAAAATAAAATAGAAGCAACAAAAGATAATGCTTTATGAATTGTTATAGAATATTTTTATTTTTTAGTAAAATTAGAAATCTTTAGAAGGGATTTTCATAAACTATTTTTAGTCCTTTCATATGTATATGTATATGTTTTTATCATATAAAAGTGTACTAGAGTTAATATTAATCTTCAGTTTATAATTTTTTTTATTAACTACTTTCTGTCATTTTAGCCCACATTAAATCAACCATCTTGGCTCGTTGGCTTTATTATTTATCTTCCTTTTATAATATTATTTTTTTAAGTGTTTTCACTTTCATAACATTATACTTTCTCAGGTCAAGCTCGGTTTCATACCGATCCAAATAAAATAAAAATTTAAATTGGCTAGAGTTAGTATTAATCTTCAGTTTATATTTTTTTTCATTAACTACTTTCTGTCATTTTAGCCCACATTAAATCAACCATCTTGGCTCGTTGGCTTTATTATTTATCTTCCTTTTATAATATTATTTTTTTAAGTGTTTTCACTTTCATAACATTATACTTTCTCAGGTCAAGCTCGGTTTCATACCGATCCAAATAAAATAAAAATTTAAATTGGCTTTAGATTATATTTATCTTCTGCCAATTCAACTATCAACATAAAAATTTAAAATGAGTGTACCCTATTCAAACAAACATGAAATAAATAAATAATTAAAGTGTAACCGAGGAACAAATTTTAGTAAGAAAATAAACCAAAAAATACTTAATCAAAGTGAGCAAAAATTATCAAAGAGTAACCAAGGAATAAATTTTAGTAAGAAAATAAATCAAAAATACCTAATCACAATATTAACCACATGCATTGCACGTGCATAAAATCTATCCCTATTAAAAAAGGAAAATAAAAAAAAGAAAAAAGTAACGAGTTAATTTTACATAACTCCCCTAAACTGTTGAGGGTTTCTCACAGACCCCCCTAACCTATGAACATTTCTCACGGACCTTTCTTAAGAGAACAAATTTTTTTTATAAAAGGTGGTATGTTATCTGTAAATGACAAACGATAAAATTTGAGATTTTATCTCTCAGGAATCTCAAGCATATTTTAGTTATTTACAAATTACAAGTTGAAGGGTTATTGTTTACTACTACTGCTATTATTATTTATTTTTCTTCTTCTGGTTTTTTTTAGGGTGGGTTGGGGGGGGGGGGGAA